AGCCACCGATCGATGCTGAGTCCTAAGTGCCGGGTACGTGGTGTGTCTGTTGGTGCCTCTGCTAGCTCTCGTGTTTTGCAGTGATAGGAACTCTTTTAGTCCCTAGGAAGTGGCTAATACTGCAGTTTCCACTATCAAAAGCCAAATTTATCTTCTGCCTCAAACAGAAATGCAGTTCTACTCATTGCTCATTTCCAAATCAGCTTTTCCACTTAAACTACATGAGGTTGGATTTTCTTTCTTTATTTTTATCAGAACAATAGCTCAGTGGATGCAGAAGTAAATGTGGAAATTCAGTGTCTTTTATTAATATAAACCTTGAATATCCTTAAAAATTAAAAAAACTTAAGAAATTGACTTAAAAATCAATACACTCTCAGAATTTTATGCTTTTTGAAAATATTTATATTGAAATTGACTTTCTTATGTGTAATCAATTTCTATGAATCAAATTTTAATATAGTTATATATCTATGAACCATACTCACCAAAGTCCTTTGATTTTTTTTTTTTTTATGTGTATCAAAAACATTTATATGTTCCCAAACATTTAAGAACTCGATTATTAGCACTCTTAATCTAGAGAAAGGTAACAGTTCAGTGTGGCTGACTCAACCTTATTGAGAAAAAACAAATTTGTACAATCTGTTGAAACAGTTTTGTTTCTTCTACTGGTTTTTTTGGGGGGGGAAGGGGTGAGACCATTAATCCCGTATTGAGGCTTCAAGGCAAGATGTTGGCTTTCAAGGAATTTATTATCTTAGCTTACACGATTCTGCATGGTACTGAGAGACTCCTAGGAGCAAGTTTGGGTGGGTCTCTATGTGGGCGTGAATACTTTGACACTTGTCAGTTCTAATATGGTTTATCTATATGAAGCTCTTCCTCAAATTACTCCCTTTACTTGTTTTATTTGTGGACATAACGTGAAAGTACAGCACATGGCTATTCCCCATTGAAGAACTGGTGTAAATCTCATTTTGATTTCTGGTTTTCGATAATGTGAACAGTGAGGTATTAACTTACTGGGAACATTTCTTTTAACTTTATTCCATAAGGACCACTCCAGATGGTCAGGTTGATTAAAAAAATGCTGCATGTGTACAGAATAATAAGCAATCAAGGTTCCTATTTTCTTTTGTTAGCAAACCATAGAGAACCTAGCTTATGCATGGAGGACAAATGAGTCCAGGAGTAAGTCCACTGGTAATATGAGCCATCTGCTCTTACCTTGGCAGCCAGCCTGAATCCTGTTGTCAAGAAGTGTTACTGGTCACATCACCTTTGACTTGGTGGATCAATGGTGATGGTAATTTGTGATGGGAAGATCATCTATCCATAATTACCTGTGGCTGAATGTTCATTCTCTATCGGCCAGAAAGTATAAGCATTACTTTTAAAAGGTAATGCTGGTTTGATTTTTAAAAAAACTATGCCTTGGCCCTGAATACGTTAGGACTCTTCATGGTTCTTGGTTTGACGTTGACTCCTGGCATTGATCTGTTGGTGCTCTGAGACCAGCGTAATGAGAGTGTCATTATGGTCAAGTGGCAGAGCTGTTTGGACTCTAGCCTTGCTTGGCTAGGAAAGTTTTCTTTTTGTCTGGGCCACCTTCTTTCACCTGTGTAATTTCAGATCACTTCGCAAATAGAACCGCAAACAAATATTTTTTAATATCCAAAGAATCCCAGCAAGTTTTCTACTTTGTGTTCAGGAGGAAGTTTTTCATTTTTTAATTTTTGTTTATGGGGCCACACCTGACTGCTTAGGGCTAATCCTGCCTCTCCTGGTGGGCTTGGGTGACCATATGGGGTACCAGGGATTGAATTTGGGTTGGCCACATGCAAGGGAAGCACCCTCCTTCTACTCTTACTCTCTCCCTGGCCCAGGTTTTCACTTGGGAGTGGATCTCCTGACTTCACACATTCCACTGGTTCTTGGAGCTTCATAGTGGTGCTTAGATTTTATTTTCTTGACTTACTTTTTCTGTCTTTGGTGTTTACATGGCTGGTGGCGGTGGGGTGGGGGTGGCGACGGGGCTCAGGCTTTATTCCCGGCTCTGTGCTGTGGGGAGGCTTCTGGCAGGGCTCAGATCGACCTGCCACTGTATACCTCACAGCCCTCTCATTCATGTCTCAAGGCATTTTAAGCTTGCTAGTTCTTTTGGCTTGTTTTCTCCTGTAGTACACAAGTTTGGTGTGTGTGTGTGTGCGCGTATGTATGTGGGGTGGGGTGGTGAAATAATTAAGGTCCCACGGAATTAAGACTCCCGTGTAGCGCAGTCTAAACCAGAGGAGAGCAGACCTTCTGGAATTCTACCAACGGCACTGGAGAAACCATTCGTTAGAGCTGTAGCTGCAGACTTAAAATTCGGTATCAGTTACCGTACCAAGGACGTTGAGTTGGTATCGTCATGTGCTCATAGTCACTATGTAAAAATAATTCTTTGAATCAGAGTATGTGTTAAGGGAGTATCTTCTAGGAATCACGGCCTTTGCATCTCTCAATTCTTGATGCCTCCTCTGGGAACATAGTCTTTTACTCGAAGGGAAAGCCCACGGGGCTTCTTTTCGACTTTTCCCAATGCAGCGCTGCCCCACTTGCCCTCCTGCCAGCCATCACTGCGGGATTTGGTCAGTGGGCAACGTCTGAGAACTGCCCTTTTCAGCTGTACACTTAGCGCCTGGGGAAAGAACCGTAGCATGAAGTTGATCTAGACTCTGATGAAATGGCAAAACCTGATAGATATAGTTTGACCACTGGATCCCTCTTTTACACATACACACACACACACACACACACACACACACACTCCCCACAGTGTGTCCTTTAGATCCTCAAGTGTTAATTGAGCGAGATTTTATTGCCCCCCCCCTGAGGTGGGGGTCTTTCCATTTGCCAAGCATAGTCACCCACATAATTTTTGATGGTTTTGAAAGTTCAGAGAAAAATCATAGAACTTCTTTATCTTTTTCTGCTGTGCCCACCCAAATCATAGAACTTTTGAGGTACTGTCACTGTCACTGTCCTCTCGTTCATCGATTTGCTCACGCGGGCCCAGTAACGTCTCCATTGTGACACTTGTTACTGTGTTTGGCATATCGAATATGCCACGGGTAGCTTGCCAGGCTTTGCCGTGCGGGCGAGATACTCTCGGTAGCTTGCCGGGCTCTCTGAGAGGGGCGGAGGAATCGAACCTCGGTCAGCCAGGCCGGCCACATGCAAGGCAAATGCCCTACCCGCTGTGCTATTCAGAGGTCTTTACTTCAGTCTGGAGTCCCGGTTCTAGGAACTTTGATATCCGAAGTTCTGGATCAGCAATTTTTTTTCCCTGTGGGAAACACTGTAGCACTGTCCTCCTGTTGTTCATTGATTTGCTCGAGCTGGGCCCAGTAACCTCTCCATTGTGAGACTTCTTGTTACTGTGTTTGGCATATCACGGTAGCTCGCCAGGATTTGTTCCTATGGGAAGATACATATTAAATATTTTATGCTACATATTTAATATTTTATGCTTTGAATGCTGTTCAAATTCTGGGGGATTAAAAAAAAGGGGACAAGACAAAAAGCAAGAGAAACCCCAACAGTCGTTGCAGTGTTCAAGCAACTGTAGATAACACATCTGTTTCCATGAAACATCATTTACAGAAATATAGTGGAGTCCAATTTGGACTGCTAGTTGGGTTTCTGTATCTTTGATACAGATAGAGTGTAATGATTATGGTGGGATGTGTTACTAATAGGGCGGTGGATACTTTATAATGTTTTGGAAACAAGTTTGATAACACATTTCTTTAACCTTGGTTGGTACCACTTGGTGTTAGGATTAATCCGTCAAGAAAATTAGCCTGCACAGTTGGCGAAGGCTTTAGAGCCAAGGGTCGCAAACTACAGCCTGCATGCTAAACATGACCTGAACTTTTTTGAATGACTTAAGTGCTAAAAATATTTTTCACATATTTCATGACGATTGAAAATTGCACATGCAGATTTTCGTTTATAAGGTTATATCTGAACATGGACACATTAATTTGTTTACATAGAGTTAGACTTCCCAGTAATCAATCTGGGTATTTTTGTAGTAACTTTGCGACTTTTAAGCTACTTACTACCTGCCCATTACACATGAAAGTCTGTTTATTTCAGCTCTAGTATTGGACATCCTTTTTTTTTTCCTTAGTAACTGTATTATTTTTGTCAATGTCTTGAGGTGAGATGTTACACTCTGAACATCCTTTATTATTATTTTTTTTAGTGAAGTAAGATAGTTTTTATTGCAAGAAACTTTCATGTGAGGAGATGGTAGAGAAGGGAAAAAAATAGTTCAAGCAAGAACAGGAGCTCGGAAGAACAGGCAAGCATGCAGAGACACAGAGAGACTAGCAAGTGGGATCCGTGTTCCAGGGAGAACACAGACTTGAGCAAGTCGGTGAACAAGCCTTTGAAAAAAGCACTGAGTGCTTTTTTAAACAATAGCTTACTAGAGTGTAAATGTTTGGTGTTGCTGCACCACACCCACTGCGAAGGGCCAGTGTTCCTCTGCCATGGTCCCTAGGTCATGGTTAGGACACACCCTTCCTCCACACCCTTCGGTAACCTCAGCTCTGTCGCCAGCAGAGGGTTTGTTTTCATTAAACACTGCATTTTCTTGCTTTGTTTCTTCACATGCTGCCTGTGCCAGAGATCACCTGCTAGTTTTTCTCTCCCGACTTAAATTTGGGCTTATCCTGACTCCCTCCAGTCCCACCCAGGTTGTCTTTCCTTCTGAGTAGTACTCCGTTGTGCACCGCGTCTTTTCAACAACGCTTGGCTAGGTGTGCAGAGGAGAGGCTGGCTGGGCAGTGTGGTGCTACCCGGGCCAGCTGTGGTGGTGCCCACCAGGGTGAGAATTCAGGCGTGTTCAGCCATTTAAACTCCGCGCCCCCCCACCCCCCGCCCCTTATAACTCATCTTGGTTCACGCACTTATTGACTGTTGTCACTCACTTGGATTGTTTCCAGGTCCTGGCTCTTGCAAGTAGTGCTGCAGTGAACACAGGCAGATTTGCTTTCCGAGAGTGAACAGTGAAAATTTTGTGTTTGGGATTGCTGGATCAAAAGGTAAATCACTTCTGATTTTTTGGAGAAATTTCCATGCTGTTTTCTGTAGCGGCTGAACCAGTGCACATTCTCACCAGGGGCAGATGAGAACACCAGGACCCACAGCCTTGGTCTGAGGCGACAGATTGTTTTTCTTTCTCTCTGTAAAGCTCATTAGTTTAATGTACATTTCCCTTAAAATCATCGATGCTTGTGTCAGTGTCTTCTTAGGAAAAGAAGGTGTCACGTCTCCTCTGTGTGTTGTTAAGCTTATTTCAAATTTTCGTTTCCTCCCCCTTTCTGTCATTGTCAGTGTGATACTAGGGTGTGAGGTGTTCTCACACACACACACACACACACACACACACACACCCCTGACCACTGTGCTTACACAGTTTAAAGTATGTTCGTCAGGGCTGCATGTCAGATTGCAGCGCTAGCTCACTTGGGTGCTCACTTGGGTTATTTTTGGGGGGCCGTGGTGTTTGCTGAAGGTTGTGCTCACACTTGCTCTTCTGGTAAAGTTTGTCTTTTGCCTAGTTTTTGAGGAACACTTGGAGGTTTTACTGTTGAGAGTCTACGTGTGGGTCACTTGTTTATGACTTACTAGATAGTCCCTCTATCACTATTTTGTTGACTTTTTAAAAACCGTAATTGGAGTTTTTCTGAGCTCTGTTGACATGATTGTGTTGTTTTTGATTTTCCATTTTGTTGAAGTGGTGTGTTTTAATAACAGCTGGTGTACGTTGGCCCCATTCTCGCATCCTTTACCCAAGAAGAACTGGCTACTTTATACAACTTAGAATTTTGGCTTTGTCTTCAAGGCAAAAACTGCCTCTAGCAGTTTCTCTGTTCACAAAATTAGGAAAAGGGAAAAGAAAGGAGATCATCTGTCTGAGGAGACAGGTAATGCTGCATGAGGATTAAGTTCTCTAATTATTTCTTCCTTCTCGCAGTTGTGAGTCCTAAGAGGAGTTGAAACTCCTCTAAAACATCTGGAAGAGACCAGTGTTTTATGTGGTCCCCGTTTTCCCTCTGTTCATGCAGCCTTTTCTGTTATTATTATTATTATTATTTACTTTTTTGCCGTGTTGGGGTATTGACCCCAGGGCCTCGTCATGCAAAACCAAGTTCTCTGCTGTGGAGCTGCGTCCTGGCCTCCAACAGTCTCTGTATCTGCCTAGGTTCCTCTAGTGGTGCTGTTTCATTTTAAGAGGCATCTTTCCTGCCATTTCGGTGGGACCTTGGGAAGGAGGAGTGGGCTCATTGATTTAGTCTGCTTGTCTTTGATTGACCAAGTTGTGACTGATTTTTAAACAGATAAGCTCCCAGATACATCTCTTGTCCGTCTGTACGTGGCCTTGTGCCTGGGAAGAATTGCTAAGTCATCCTTCCCCTGCCCACTGCTTCCCCCGACTGGCAAAGAGTATTTAATTGCGGGTAGGGCGTTCGCCTTACAAGCGGCCAACATGGCCGACCCGAGTTCGATTCCTCCGCCCCTCTCGGAGAGCCCGGCAAGCTACTGAGAGTATTCGATATGCCAGACACAGTAACAACAAAGTCTCCAATGGAGACGTTACTGGGCCCGCTCGAGCAAATCGACGATCAACGGGAGGGCCTTTACCTTTACCTTTACCTTGCTTTATTTTTTAAACATTTCAAATTCTCGTTTCATAAAGTTGTTCACAATAATTGACTACGTTCATTGTTTCAACACCAGTCCCAGCACCATGACACCTTCCCACGACCAGTCTTTCGAATTTTCGCACCGACACTCAAGCCTGCCCCACAGGCAGATGCTAGATAATTTATTTTGTATTGCTTGTATGAGGTGTCTCTCATCATATGAGATGTCTTATAAGGGTCTGTCTTGCAGTGATTCAACAAAAAAAGCACACACACACACACACACACACACACACAGAGTGTGAGACGTTGCGTGGCCACGTGCTCCTGGAATTCGAAAACTTCAAACAATTGGGGTCCGGAGACATCTCTGCAGTGAGCTGCTTGGTTCCGAGATTGGTTTGTGAGTCTCTGGATCGCGGCTGTTAATGTGCTTAAGCGGCACCTGGAGGCCGTGGGCAGGGCGGGCAGGGCGGGGAGGTGGGAGGGGGTGGCCCAGTTCCCGCTCCTCCCTCGCAGCCTGGAGTTTTCAGCCACTGGCCCACGTACCTGGGCTTTCCGGGGATTCGTTCTCAGGCGTGGGGGGCTCTGGAGGAGCCTGTGGCCGTGAGGGTGGCGGCGATTAGGTCCTGGAGGTTTGCGGCTCCCGGGGTTCGTCAGGGCCCGGCAGAGGGACGGACACACCTCCAGGTGTGAGGCTGAGATCGCAAAGAGAGTTTCCGTGGGATCTGCCGTGACGACGGTGTGAGTACTCAAGAGTACTTGTCCTGCGTACTTGGTTTGGCTTTTTGCTCCTCACGCCAAGGTGTTCAGGCCGGGGACCCTGTGACGCCGCGATCTAACTCCAGGCTCTCTCTGCAGTCTGGGCTCTGGTCCTTTGAGCCTGCTTTTCTGTCCTTGAGCGCTTTCTTACTTTAAAGGGATGGAAAATTATACAGATGGGTCAAGCCTTTATTTTTATGTATTTTTTTTGTGCTATCCATGGCGGTGCTCAGGACTTAGCCCTGACTTGGCTCTCAGAGATCTCTTTCAGCAGGGCTTGGGCTACCATCCGGGGGGCTGGGGCTCAAACCCAGGTCAGCCGCCTGCACGACAACCCCACCCCGCCCGCTGCGCTGTTGCTCCGACCCCTGGAGGTCTTCTCTTTTTAGAAGTGATATCGGGGGAATAGTTTAGTCATTCGTGAAAGTGGCCAGAAAATGATGCAGTTGGGTTGTTACTGTGAAGCAGAGAAACAGTTTTGAAAATGATTTAGTAAAAGCCTGGAGGAAGCGAGGGAAAGGATAGCTAGATCTTTTTCGTTCTTCTCCCTCTAATCTAGATGTGCAGTGTCCTTTTAGGCGATGGTTTTGCTGAGGGAGAAAAATATGGTGCTTTTCCCAACCACCTTTTCACCCAAAACACCTTTTCACTTAGATACCTTTTAAATCTTGCTTTTTTGGGGTGGTGGTGGTGGTGGTGGTTAATCTCTGGAGGATATTAGGTTAAAATTTTTATCGCCCAAATATTTATAAGTGTCCGGCCTTTGGTGAAAAATTGAGAGATCTACCAGTGTGTAATAAAGATAATGCTTATTCATCGCTTTTGGTCTGTGGTCCACAGACATATATTACACTGCTGCTTTGTATTTCTGTATAGAAAATAAAAATTGGAGTTTTATGAAGTGTTTGACCTTTATGTGATGTACTATATATATGTATATATATATACACACACATATATATATATATATTACTGTGTTTGGCATATCAAATACTCTCGGTAGCTTGCCGGGCTCTCCGAGAGGGGCGGAGGAATCGAACGCGGGTCGGCCATGTTGGCCGCTTGTAAGGCGAACGCCCTACCGCTGTGCTATTGTTCACGTATGTACATATCCCTTCATTAAAAGAAGGAATCTGCCCTGCTAATTTTGTTTCACCGATCCACTGATTGCTTTGTGACGTGCAATTGGAGGAAACCCCGAGTTCGATTCTGCTGTTACAATAGTGGGAAGGTGGAAGGGATGTGGGTTCAGGTAGACTGTGATTCTTCTAGCTTACTGTTCTTCTATCTTACTGTAATTTCCTTTGAAACTTTTTTGCAGCTGTAAATTAGGAATAATAGTCCCATGTTAGTTTGTCTGTGAGGATTAGAAAGAAATGGTAAGTGCCTGGCGGTCCTAGGAATGATGTAGCTATCAAATGAAGTTTCACTTAATGACTTTACATAGCGTAAGAAAAAACAGGGCTCAATTTAAAGCTCAAAAGCAAGGCATCTCAGATTCTCCTAGCAGTCCTGTTTTGCCCATAGCTGATTTTGACTTTGTGGGTAATTAGCACATCTTTCAGCTTGTAAGTCTCTATAAATGTTTAGTGTTTTCCTTTAGCAAAAAGGACCTCTCGGTTTTCAGCTCCCCATCTTGTCTTTCTGGCTTTCTATTTCAGTCTTTTTCCCCCTCTGTGTGAGGCTGTCCTCATCTGTGCTGCAGTGGCCCTCTCTTGACTCCTGTTTTTCCTTCTAGGCCGTGGATTGCTGGAGCTAAGAGGAAGAGGGATGGTGGTGGTTTATTGTTGCAAAGGAAAAGCGGTGACCAGGGTTCATTCCAATTTTGGGATTGCTGGCATCCCATCCCATGAACATGTAATAGCTTTTTTACCTATTTTGTGTGTGTGGGGGGGGGAGGGAGCATGCCTGGCTGTGCTGAGAGCCTCCTCTTGGCTCAGTGCTCAGAACTGACTCTTGGTGGGCTTGAGGAACCACAGGAGTGTGCTGGGGGTTGAACTTGGGCAGCCGAGTGCCAGGCAGTTGCCCGACCTACTGTCCTACCTTTCCTGCCCTCGTTTCGTGGTGATCCCTCTTTTTTCTCCTCATATTTCATAAATAAATTTCATTTTGCTTTGCTAGCGCCCCCCCTTCCCCCCAAAAAATAAAAACCAGTCAAACACACCCACAAGAGATTGAGGTCGTAGGAACATTAAGCTGACTTGGCAGTTGCCACTCTCCGCTCAGCTACCTAGGGGACAGTCTGATTTACTAGTGGAATATGGCGGGAAAGGAGTGTAAAATTCAGCCCAGGGACTGGAGGCATAACACAGTGCGCAGGGGCTGGCCTGTGGCAGGGCGGACTCAGGTGGGGGTCTCTGGAGCTCTGTCCTCCCCTGAATGCCATTAGGGGGATTCCTTTTTCTTTGGTTTTTGTTTTGGGGCCACACCCAACGGTGCTCAGTGGTTATCCTGGCTCTGTGCTCAGAAATTACTTGTGGAGTACCTTGGGGTACCAGGGATGCAGTCCTGGTCCGCTTTGTGCAAGCAAGAGCTCTGCCCACTGTGCTGTCTCTTGGACCACTGCCGGGAGTGATTTGTGGGCTTAGGGCCAGGAGTTAGGTCCTGAGCACTGCCGGGGGCTCAGGACTTAC